TATTTTGTTGTTGTTTTTGTTTTTATGAGAGTGTAACTTAGGAGCCTAAACATGATGGTAAGATAGAGCTGTGGCTGTGCTGTTTTGGTTCTGTAATGAATTTGCAAGTGGGTAGTTTCACATGACTCACCCTGTAAATAATGTGCCCCATCCTTCATATAGAGATCCTGGAAGAGACTGGATGTGTCTGTTTTCCTGCCATCTTTCTAAGTGGCTGCCGTTGGCCTGTGGTCCCTGCTGCACGGTTTAGGGGAGGAGCTGGGGAAGGGAACACAGGCTGTCATCTGCTTGTGTCCTGGCCACCAGCACAGGCTGCTCTGTGGTCAAAAAGATACAGAGCAGGAGGAAAGAAAGAGGACAAAGGGGTAGGAGGAGAATGAGTTTGAGAAGAAATAGGGAGAAAAGAGGTGTTACTGGGAGGATGGCACATAGCATTGGCATTGTTAAATTTAAGAACCTAAAGGCACAAGATCCATTTGAAGTCATTTTTAACCTGTTGAACAGATATTTAAAGGAGAAAATGAAGTAAATGTTTTAGGAGGAAGCTTTCACCCCTCATTTGATTTGTCATTCTGGGTTAAAACTTTATGCATGTACATCTTGACTGGAATTTCATTCTGTTTACTTCTGCAGTTAAGGAATTTCTATTCTTTACACTTTTTTTTCAAATAGAACTATATTTTCGTACTCCTTCCTTCATTTTGCTCTTGAACTGAGTGCTCCAATGACTTAGTTTTTTGAAGAAACCTGATTTCTTGCTAAGTTTCTTTAGAGGAATTACTTTACATTTCTTTCCAGCACTTGCTTATGTAGATAAGGAGGTCTTGAATAACAACTGGTAACGTCTGGCAAAAGAAGCCTACAAACTTCCAGGCACAAAATCTCTTCCTTTATAGGTAACATGTTCAGAAGACATCTTAGTGTAACTTTCTAGTTCTTATGTAGAAAATAAATTTTCAAAATATAGAAGGAAGCAGTTGTACTGGGTCACTTGTCACTACAAGCTATTTATATAAAGTAAGTGTAATAAAATATCAAAATACTATGGCATTTTCTTACCTCATCTGTAATTTTAAGAAGTGCTAGTAAAAATAATACAGAGCTTTTAACTGGGATTTTCAGTCTGTGTACTGGGAAAAAAAAATTACGTAAGAGGCAGTCTTACAAACTATTCCATTACTGGCAGCTCAATCTGTAAATAAGCCAATTTTGGAATAAATCCAAAACAAGAGCATAAAGGGAAAGGTATTGTTGGACTGTGTAGTGAAATGGGATGGGATTTTTCACCTTGGGGATTATTTGCTGAAAATAGCGGATGTCCTACCGTTAAGCTAAAACACAACGTGTTTAAACATCCTTCTACCTGCACATGGAAACATCTTATTTCAAAGTCCTGGGTCACTGGAGTGTCATGTTGTAGCTACTTCTGGAAGAAGGGCTTTAAAAAGGAAAAAAAAAAAAAAAGAGTCAGATACGAGTATCTTTTGCCAAGTAGTTGTTACTGGGATTTGTTAGCAGCCTGTTTGTAAGGGTGACAACTTTAAATGAGGTTTTGTAAGACTCGTAAGTAGGGGGAGATGAATTCCCTGACTTAAAAGCTGACAGTCAGTGACCAACCAGACCATGTGTGCAAAATTCACATGGTGGTGTTAAACAGAATGAGGGAGGAGAACAGAGGAACGTGTCAGCTAGGGTGGGGTGGTGGGAGGAAGCAAAAATTTATGTATATATATACACATACATACAAGTATGCCTATATAAAAAATACGTAAAAATAAATTAACAGAGGAGCCAAACACTTACCCTGGGAAAGGACAAAATGTGTGTTGGAGAAGTAGCAACGTGGAGTGAGCTGAAACTGGAAGTTAAGATTGACTGACAAAACTGTTTACCAAAAAGTTTGAGGGCTGATATGATCTCCCTGAGAACCTGGGAAGATGCCAGGTTGATTCCTCGTCTGTGATAGTCTTCTCCACAGGTAGGAGAGAGAGACTCTCACAGATGTTGTCATGTTGCGTGCTGCTGTATCTGGTAGCTTACAGCTTGTCCACAGAAAACCCCAAAATTTCGTAATGGATTACTGTCCAGGTTATATCAGAGGGTAAGTCAGGAAAAGATTTGAGTGATGCAATTTACCTTTCTGCAACTTCTGAAGTTATTTTTCTTGGAAGATCCCAAGTAGCTTTTTCTCTAATATTAACCTAGTCTGGTTGAGACGTGTCCCTGCTCATGGCAGGGAGGTTGGATTAGTTTGATCTCTAGGGTCCCTTCCAACTTAAGTCACACTATGATAGTATTCTAATACTGCTTGTGCCCAGAATGCTTTACCTGAATTCAGTTGATTAAATTATTGTATTTAATTTGCCTTCCAGCAACTTGTGTGTGTTCAGATTTTTGAACACCAGTGCTGAGTGTGGCTTTGGTTGCTGGATGTTAGTTCTGCTTTTCCCACTGCTGCTGTAGAGGAGCATAAAGGGTGTGGGCAGAATTGTCATTCTGAACTGCCTCTGCTCACCTTGCAAATATGTATTTAAAAGAAAAAAGTGCAGGTCGCTGATCACACTTTTGTGACTGTGATGTGGAAAGCTTTAAGCCTTCTACAATTGAATTTTCCTTTGAGGTTACCTCTATTTTTTTTTTTAGGTATTTCCTCCCCCATCTGTTATTCAAATCATTATCTTCTTTTTGATTTAGACTTTTTCTTTGATCCAGATGAAGTCCTAAATTTGTTGCTTCCTGCGTATCTCCTTAGGCTGAGTGACCTTTAGAGGTCACTTGATGATTTTAAGATTATTCTAATGGAAGCAGGATTCCACTTCTGCTACTCTTGGGTACCTCCACATTTTCTTACTTTATATGGCAGTGTCACCTCTTTGCTTCTCTTGAAAAACCCTCCCCTTAAAATGGCTCCGAATGGCTCTGCTAGAGCCATCTCTGTCCCGTTGCAGTCAGTTCCTTTAATGTCCTCCTTTGGTGCTTTCTCTGTCCAGAGGTCAGACATGCATGCACTGTGATTTTTATCTTTGGAATTTTTTTAGTGTAGCCCTGCCATGGCTCTTTGTTCCAGGTTTGTTTCTGCCTTTTTTTTTTTTTTTTCCCCCACTGACAGTGCCAACTTCAGCTTTCTGCTTATGAACTTTTCCCACATGCTTTCCCCAAATCTCCTTTCAGCACAGAAGGTAGAATCAACAGAACTTGTGAAATTGCCATCTGAACATTCAAACTCTTCTCTAAATCTCACCTGTGCTGTAACACATACAGAAAATCGCCATCTGCTAAGTAGGTAGTGAGAGATCATTGTGGCAGGTGGCTACAGGTTGCATACAAATCTGGTTCAAGCTACATTTCTTATTCCATCTTTTATTTCCTTGCCAACACACCAGGTTCTTTTGTTCCCCTGCGTGCCTTGTTTTTAGAATAGAGTTTTAGAATATAAGTTTTTCTGGACAGAGCTGTTGTCAACCTACATGTTTTAAAGAGCCTGTTCACTAATTTCTACAAAACAGAGAAGTGGGAAATGCAGTTTTAAACAAGTATCTATTGTTGCTAATAAGATGAAACAAAGGACACTTTTTTTTTTTTCTGGTGGGTAAACTGCCTTGCTTTTGATTTATCTACAGCTTTTTCTGTGTATTGTGTCCTGTGTCTTTGTGAAACATGAAGTAATAATTGGCACCTTCCATCATACAAATGCAATATTTTAAAAGCTCTATCATCATAGAATTATTTGGGTTGGAAGGGACCTTTCAAAGTCACCTAGTCCAACCCCTCTGCTGTGAGCAGGGACAACTAGATCGGATTACTCAGAGTCCAGTCCAGCCTGACCTTGATTGTTTCCAGGGATGGGGCTTCTACCACCTCTCTGGAAAACCTGTGGCACCCTCGTTGTGAAAAATTTCTTCTTTATATCTAGTCTGGATCTACCCTCCTTTAGTTTAAAACCATCACCCCTTCTCCTGTTGCAAGAGGCCCTGCTAAAAAGACTGCCCTCATCTTTCTTATAGGTCCCTTTTAAGTACTGAAAGGCCACAGTAAGGTCTCCCTGGACCCTCCCCTTCTCCAGGCTGAACAACCCCAGCTCTCTCAGCCTTTCTTCACAGAGAGGTGCTCCAGTTCCCTGATAATTTTCATGGCTCTCCTCTGGACCAGCTCCAACAGGCCCATGTCCTTCTTGTGCTAAGGACTTAAGAGCTGGATGCTCCGAGTGCTTCATGTATGGTCTTACGAGGGTGGAGTAGAGGGACAGAATCATCTTCCTCGACCTGCTGGTCAAGCTTCTTTTGATGCAGCCCAGGATACAGTTGGCATTTTGGGCTGTGAACGTACATTGCCAGCTCACGTGCAGCTTTTCATTTACCAGCACCCCCAAGTCCTCCTGGGCAGGGCTGCTCTCAGTCCCTTCATCCCCCAGGCTGTATTGATGCTGGGGGTTACCCCTGCCCAGGCACAGGACCCTGCATTTGGCCTTGTTAAACCTCATGAGGAGGTTCCCTTGGGCCCAGTTCTTGAGCTTGTCCAGGTCCTTCTGGATGACATCTTGTCCCTTTGGCCTGTCAGCCGCTCCGCTCAGCTTGGTGGCATCTCCAAACGTGCTGAGGGTGTACTTGAACCCACTGTCTGTGTCATTGAGGAAGATATTAAGCAGTACTGGTCCCAGTGCAGACCCCTGAGGGACATTATGGGGTGTTGCTGTTCAGCACATTTCTGAGAGTAAAATGTGTTTTTTTACTGAAATTAGAGCAGATTGTGAATGAAAAATGCAGTTGGAGCAAAAACTTGAAAATGTTTATCTGCTGTGTTCTTGGCCTGGCTTTTGTACTTCAGAAGCGTGCTGCGCTAGATCATGTTTCAGTGTTATTTCTGGATTATTTTAGTTTTCACATTTTGGGAGTAACCTTAAAATAGTCTTACTTAAAAGATTTCTGAAAAAATTAAATAATTCTGAGCATAGAGCATTGCTGGAAAGTTTGAATCATTAGCTTAATTCTTTTTTTTTGCAGGACTTCAAGAATATATTGAGGCAGTCTCATTCCAGTACTTTATCAAAACACGATCTTTGATTAGTGTTGAAGAGATCAACAAACAACTAATATTTTCAGCGGAAGACAGAGAAGAAACAACAAACATGGTAAAAGCTTTTCTTTTCTCACATGACAAAGGTCTTTCTGGGATGGAAACGCAATGAGTAGACTTAGTCACATTTTTGGCATCTGATTAAATAAGGCCAGTTAGTGGAATGGTATTAGATACACACGGGGGCTTTGACTCGTTCAAAACATGCTTTTAATTCTGACAAGTTGTAAACTAAATCTGTGGGATACAAGTTTATAAATTTCACATCCTTCTTTTATTCAGAGCAAACTGAACTCCTTCTGGTAGGGGGAGAGATCCAGGATAGTGAAATACTAGCAAACAAATGTAGGGGAGGGACTTTCTTTAATGACTGCGGCTGCCTATGAGGGCCACTGGTGTGTGCACCTGCTTCTGTTGAAGAGATTGTGCTGCAAAGCATGTTATTCTTCATTCTCTTGGTAAGATATTTGCAAAGAAGGCAAGTGTTTAGCTTAATTTCATTTGTTCTTACTGGAGGCAAATCCATTGTGGCACGTTTTTTGTAACCAATTGTGAGGTTGTTAACCCTTGCATATGTGCCTCTGGCCAGATTTTCAAATTTGGGTGGATAGCATGTTACAGGAACAAGAGAACAGAAAGAAACCTGCGTTGTCTCATACGTTACCAATATTTTGCCAATAAAAAACCACACTGGAATCTTGGATACAGGTGCAGACTTGTAACTCTGTGATGTGTTTTCTTCATGAAGTATTTATTTAGCTATTTTAATGAGTTCAGTTGGTATAAAATGGATCTGAGTGAACTATATCTATCAGATTCTTGTAGAAAATGTATTTTGAAATTCAAGATACTACTACAAAATTATGTGATTTGCTTTCATAGTGCAGACTCTCTTTGATTCTTGATTGCTTTGGTAGCTTTGGAGAGACCATTTAGGGAAAATACAAATCTCTTAGGTTGACATCTGTCAGCCAAAAACCCCCCAAAAAACCCAGTTGTAAATAAAGGTTGGTGCCAAGAATGATAATTATGTTTGCAAATAGAGATGGTAGAGACAGGGTGTGTTTATTGTGCTTGTTGGAATGGAAATCCTATGCTTTCATACCTTCTGGTGTGCTGGAAGGAGAATGGTACTTCTGAAATGGGACAGTGCCATGCAGTTTAATTTTCCAGAATGTTTCTAATTACCAGTTATGTTGGAGGAGTTAAGAGTGTATTTGAACCATTATAGACTGTTTTTTCCCTAGTTCTCTGCACTGGACTTTGTTCTCTTCTGTCCTCAGACGTCCAGTTCCCGTGACAACCAACCCCTCACCTGGAGCCTGAAGGTGACGCCGGTGGATTACCTGCTGGGCGTGGCTGACCTGACCGGAGAGCTGATGCGGCTGTGCATCGGCAGCGTGGGGAACGGGGACATAGACACCCCTTTCGAGCTCAGCCACTTCTTGCGCCAGATTTACGACGGCTTCACCTTCATCGGCAACACGGGACCTTACGAAGTGTCTAAGAAGCTGTACACCTTGAAACAGAGTCTGGCAAAAGTGGAGAACGCCTGCTACACGTTAAAAGTACGGGGATCTGAAATCCCAAAGCACATGCTAGCTGATGTGTTCTCCACCAAAGCGGAATTGATTGACCAAGAGGAGGGCCTGCCTTAAAATAAGGAGACTATTGCGACTCAGAAGGGAAGAGGACTTAGAGAAAGCTTTTTAGTTATGGTTTGTGGGAGTTTGACCCTCCTCAAAGTTTCTTAGGTAGAGACACTTTTAGTTTTATCTATGAGAAGATGGTTTGCCGTGGTAATTTGTAACCAAAAATACTTTTTATGATGTGCAAGAGAACAAATGTTTTGACTCGGTCCTCTCGATGTGGAATTCTCTGTATTGCTCTGCTGTGTCTTCTTCCAGAATGACCAAAATTTCCACTGTGCTCTACACCAGTGACGGTCAATTGTGTGGGTCATCTCAAACTATTGTGGTTGCTGTTACCAGTTTCCAGCAAGCACAACAGTGGAAAAAAGTATGGTTAGATACTGTTATTTAGCATTATCCATAGGTTTCTGCTGACCCATTTTCTGAGGTTTTGGGTTCTGTACTCATGTCATATCTAAAACAATGCACCTGTGTTTAAGTTCATCCCTAGACTTGAAACTGAGGTGGTCTCAAAGTTGCCATGTAACTTAAGTTTTCTAGGATTAATGGTTTTGAGTGTAAAACTGAAGCTAAGTCAACTTTTCACCTGTTGGTAATGAAGGTAGTTGCACCGGGTAAATACTACCATGAACTCATTATTTTGGGGTTCTCTTTAAGTGGAGCTCTATTCAAGTTAACGTTGGTATTTCACAGTTTTGACATGAGCTAGAAAATCCACCAAAAAAAAAATTGTGGAATGTATTGGTTTACATTTTTTGTAATACAGTTTAATGCAGAATCTGACATCTTTCTGCTTATAGACAAAAGCACAAGACCTACCAAGTATGTTTAATGTGAATAATTTGGTGTTAGGAAAAGCAGTTTTAGTCCAAAACAAATGTGGTGTGGTGTTGGAAGTCTGTTCTCCATTGTTTATGCTGCCCTGAGGACCTCCAGTGAGGCTCAACTGGTATAAGTGAAAAGAGGTCTAGCCAAGCTTTAAAAATCTGTTAGCAGGAACTATTATCATGTGCATGTTCCTATGGAAAGGAAATTGCAAACAGAAGTAAGGCAGACATTCTGACTTCCACATTTGTCTTTGAGGTGGGTATGTCACCGCTGGCAAAAAATCAGGGCTTTCTGCCGGTGTCTGGAGTTATGAAAGTCTGATAATGTACATTATGCTAAAGGAAAACGGATAAAACAACATGATCTTTAGATTCCAGGAAATAGGCTTCCCAACTGCAATTGAAAATGCTGCATGTCTTTTATTTCCACTTCCATATGCTGTGATACTGCCAATATTTTTCCCATGAATATGTCCTGAGTAGCCAGGATCATCTGATCTATGGATAGGATTGGGTAAATACATTTCTGTCACATTTTTCCATTGTTTCCACATAAAGCAATACGTGGTGGGTTGAACAAGGAGTGGCTCGTTTCCTATTGTTTAATACTGGTTTTTACAATAAATTCTGAAAAGCAGTTGCTGCCTATATGTGGGTCCATTTGCCTGTCAGTCCCAGCAGAAAATAATGGTGGCAGTTTCTCACTCTGCAGGAGCTGACTTGGAAGTTTCACTCCATTTCTATATTCATACTTTCGGGATTAGAAATTGACCCTCAATCTCTGCTCTTTCTCCCTTAACTTTATTCTGTGAAGTCTAAAAACTAGTTAGGATAGAAGAGAAAGAGAGGAGAAGGATGCTTATTAATAAGGAAAGGTGTGTTTGTTTTTTTTTATTCCCAGAACTGTATGCATCTAGTATTTCAAGTGATGCAGGCGAGAGTATAGTTCTGCGTCTTGACACAGCTAAATTTACTACAAGTAATTGCTTGTTGAGTGTGTTTGAAATGAAAACAGTTATTATTAGAGGTATTGTGTGATGTTAAACAGAGCTCTGTCTCTTGTCTGTCCTAGCAGCTATCAGGTGGGATTCAAATATTTTCATGGCACAGTTTGAGAAGGGATGAGAGGAACTTCAGCACGTGGCAGCGCTTTGGCTGAAAGATGTTCTGCCTCTAGCCATGCAATGAGCACGCAGTGGCCACCGTTTTAGTCAAACATCTGCTTTTGTACAGTCATTCATTATTTTTAAACTACAGATTTCTAAAAAGTATCTTTTTTTCTAGCAACCTAGCAATAAGTAGATGTTCTTCCAAAAACCCTAAACTGGTTCTAATGATTTTGAGTTTCTGAAAGGCAAGAGAAAACTTTATACTGACAGATGTGATTTCTAAACTTCAGACTGCCTCCTTGTAGTCAAAAGCTGTGATAATTTCTAAGAAGGAGCAAAGTGTATGTGTGGTGTATTAAGACACCAGCACAGATGGGAAATAGCTAATGGCCTGCAAACCTCCTGCTCAAGGAAATATTTTCCCCCCAAAAAAACAATAAAACTGTAGCTATTTGAGAAGTGACAGACATTTATCAGCAAAACAAGCTGCTAAACAAGCAATGGCAATTTTCCCGTTTGTTATCCCATTGCTCTGTGGAGCTATTGATACACTTGGTCTGCAGCCAGAACAGGACTACGTCATAACAGATGTTTCACGAGGGCAGCTCTGCGTGCTGAAAATCATCTGCCTTTCTAGAATCTCCTTTCTCGGAAATTATTTTTCTTTACAGGTTCACTTTAATCCTGACTGTTAATTTGCAGTGAGGAAAATAAACCCAACCGCATTTAGCTTTCCAGAACGGCCAGAGAAGTTATGCAAGAGAAACTTCCTGTTGACAGGACGTGTATGTCTGTCTGCTTAAGAGTCCTGCTTACTTGGATTTTCAGAGAGTTTACAGAAAATCAAAAGAAAAAAACCTCATTTTTTTTTAATATTTAGCATATCACATTCCTTATGGAACTCTTTGGACCGGATTCTGGCACCACCCTCAAAGAGTTCACAATTTAAGAGCAGGCAAAAGAGTAGCCAAGACAAACAAAAGGAAGATGGTAGAAAGGGGGGGGTAGATGAAGTGACAGGATTTTTGCCAGAAGACTCAGTGGTAGTAGGTTGGTTTACCACTTCCTATTCCAGAAAAGAAACTTGTCGAAACTTGAGAAAGTCTGGAGTGTGCCAGTAAAGGGTTAGTTGGGAAGGATGAAAGCAGTGGAGAAGCAAAATGGAAGGAAGTGAGGTAGAGACAAAGAGGGGAAGAGTGGCAAAGAGTTGGGACAGCATGGAGGAAGAGCAGGCAGAGCTGCAGGACAGTGGGTGCACATGTGAGTAGGGTGGGACTGGGGAGGACGTGGGACAGGAAGACAGCCCTGCAAGAAATTGGAAACAACACTTTGAAAACAGATGACTCAGCTGTAAAAGAGACTTGGAGTTGACTGTAGGAACTGAATGTAAAATGACCACAGGGTCTCCAAAGCATCTGACTGTACTTGGGTCATAGATAAGGAGAAATTGATTTTCTGAGCAGCTGAGAACCTGCAGGTCCTGGACTGAGCAGGGTTTACAGGCTTCCAGCCATGCTGTCACAAATCAAAAAGCTCTTAGTTGCCATATTCCCCAGCTTCCCATACACGTTCCCTTTACTCCCATATTGGTAGCCACAAACCTTGATGTGTGAACTACCACCACTTGCAGCTCTTAGAGACATGGTTAGATACAGGTTTTAACATAAAGTAATGCTCACAGCGACCACTGTTTTCCCCTTGTGTGCTGTTTACCTGTCCGTTTTGCTGTCATTGCTGCTTCAACCACCTCTGTTTCTTCCTTTACTTATCCTTTCTTAGGCTGTAGTGTTCTTTTGAGCCATTGCCCATCTCCATCCCATGGTTCAGTCCTTTCCATGTTTAGCTGGAATCCTGGGGTTGAAATCTGTTGGTTTCTTAGGTAGGTTCTCTGCTTGCACCTCCAAATTTGGAAACGGTGCTCTGGCTGTGAGGGGAGAGGTCTGGTACTTCTGTACTGAGGTAAGGTTGGTGCACATGTCCTACAGCAGCCGTGGTGCAGTGTGTCAGGATGGATGCGTGGGTGGGCAGATCTCATGCTGCTTTTGCAGGTCAGCAAACTTTAGTTATTCTGAGGTTTGCAATCATCACGAGCCAAGGTAAATGGCCTACAAACACGGAGGAAGTTTCTTCTCCAGTTCTGAGGAAGGTTGTCTTTGAGTATTATTTCCCACCAACTCTACCCCTTTTTACCTGATCCCTATGAAAGGCCCGTTTGCAGAATGTAGTGGGGAAGACTTGCCTATGACTTGTTCTGGAGCCAGTCGGTGCCTCCCTGAACACTGGCCAAAAGTGATGTGATGGCTCCTTTCTCAGCTCCTCCCACAGGCTAGGCAGGCTGGCTCTGGTGTCCTTCCAGCCACCCTGAGGGGCTGAACTCTGAGCCTCCACTGTTGGATTTTGCAGACCAATGACACATAGATTCATCCTCCTCTTTCTTTTTTTTTTTTTTTTGCCCTAGTGTTGTTGTTTTTATGTCATGCAGATGCTTGTTCCTCCCAAAGAAAGAAGCTGTTGTGTTATGGTCTGCTCCTCTGCAGCCACAAGAGGTCAGATGACATCTTGAACCCATCATAAAACAGTTCTTGACTACTGGCATGTTTCGTGGAACATCATCTATCTCTATTCCCACAGCTCCATGCTTTCCTGTAGCAAATCCCTTTTCATCCAGAAGGGTCCTACCACCTCCATTTACTTCCTCCTCAAGGTCCTCTTCTCTGATAAGCCCAGCAGGAAGAGCTGACAAAACTGATCTGGAAATAGCGCAGGTTTTTGTTAAAGTGAGATTTTGCATGCTTGGGGATGGGAACCAGATGGGTGGAGGACGCACTCAAATAGACAGTCCTGTGTGTTTTGGTGTCACAGGGGTATTGTTAAGCGCTGACAGTCTCATTTTAAAGGCAGGGGGAGGTTGTTTCTGTCTTTGCAGCAAGAGCTTGTTGGTGGCTATGCTTTGCTTTGCCTGCCTCACACCTCCAGGGAAAGGTGACAGTCAGGGGATGCCAGGGCTAGGAGGGAAGATGAATAAGATGAAGCAGCATAAGGTCATAGAGCAAATCAGTCAGGAGCCTGGAGTTCGATGCGGCTCTTTCAGCTTCCAGCCCGGTTCCTGGTGCTGCCACCCCAAGCTCCTTCTGCTCTCCAGGGTCAGCCAAAGCAGGGCTGCCCCCTGCCCCACACACTGAGCTCCCAGCCACCCCTCACTGCATCCTGTTGTGCATTATTTTCTCAGTGGAGCTGAGACATTTAGTCCCTATTTAGGACTATTGCTTTTAGACTATTTAAAGACTGTACAGATCCTATTTCTTAATCTGAGCTGTCCGTGCAGTGTCCTGCCAACCTGCAGCTACACTGATGTGCCTACATCAAGCTAGGTTCCTTGAGAGTCTTACTGCTCTGTAACAATTTTCCTTATCTATTAAACGTTGAGATAGAGTTTGCCTGGGTCCTACTTTAAAAATGTGTTGTTTGGGGAAAGGGGACCCATGGGTGTTTGTGGTGAGAGG